ATCATCTTTCTATGGTTACTCGTTTTACATTCTGTAAGTTAATCTCTCCTCAACAATATGACGACGCGAAGGAAGTATCTTTATTGTTGACCGCTTTGAAACTTAAGACAGCAGATAATGGCGAAAAGAATTTTTACACAGGGTTTTTTCGCGCTTTGAGCCGGATAAAATCCAAACAAAGGGAAGGAACAGGTCCAAAAAGTAGCCGAAACTACCATGTTTAAAAATTCTTTCGAATCCAATAGATAAAGAAACGTAACATCAATTCAATAAACATTAGATAGCGGGAACTGCAATGCTTCCTGAAGAGGCGGATGCAAATCTAGAAACTTTAAGGACACTGGCACTAATACTTGTTTAGAAATATTCTGCATGTAGGCAGAATTTTCATATAATTCATTTTAGGCCAAGATTGTGCAATTTATAGCAGAAAAAGAAAAACTTTCGTAAACTCTCTTCAGCTTAATCCAGAAAGTGACCTTACCTGATCAACATCATCTTCAATCTTTGCAATGTGCTCGATTCTTTTACTATTCCTATCCACTTTGCCATCATCGCCTCCTTTCGGTGACGTCACTTTTGGCCGAGATTCTGTTTCCCGCTGAATCTATAATTTACATCCATGTGGAAAAACTTTGCATACAAATCATTTTTTTTTCGTGCAAACAATGATCTTTGACAAATTACAGCGCAGATACAAATATAACTTAACCTGTGAGAGAGGGAGAGAGAGAGGAAAAAAGAAAGAGACAAAACTGGCGGAAGACTGTGTCAGGAATGACTAGTACCAATGCTTTTTATAGTGACTAATATAACCTGTGATAACTCTTTACTATGACCATTCAAACAAACACTTAAACGAGAGGGCTGAACCTGTTCTGCACTGATAAAGGGTAAGGTGCCGCATACCGAGAATGATGAACGGACAGACAAAAAAGGATCATGAGAAAGAGTGAAAAACGGGGCGCTTAGTACGAGCAGATTCCTAATCGCAAAAAACAGCATTTTCCAAGTAAATTCGACTTTAATAACAAAAGAGATCTTCAAATCAACGAAAAAGTTTTTGAAGTTAAACAAGAGAACTTCAACGGTCGATGGATCAATCGTGGAAATGCAATTCTTTTTTAGCACTTACAAATCTTAAAAATGCTGCGATACAAACCTGTAGTTTGATTTCATGTTGTTCGCGAACTCGACGTAACATCGCTTCCACCGCAGCACCTCCAGTAACATCTGGCGGAGCTTGGCTTCCGTTTCGCGAACCTCCTAAAACATGAAGTGAGCAGA